TATATAATAATAATAGCGGCGTTAAATAGCTCTTTTGGTGAATAAATTTTTTATTGGGAAAATAACCATTAGATTTTTTTATTAGTTATTATATAATAAAAAATTACCGCTTTTAATTAAAATAATTATGTTTAAAAATTATATTATATTATATTTTTATACATTCGATGTAATTAATTATTATCGGTGTCTAGTTTAAGAAAATATAAATTAATTTATATAGATGGATTTAATATTTTAAAATTGTTTTGTGATTCAGATAAGTCTTCTTACTATACCCACATATGAGATTGTATATCATTTATATGATAGGATAGGGGTACTCTTAAAGTACGAGCATGTTAGTTGATTGGGGCAACCCCTGTATTGTTTGAGTAGTATAGGACACTGAGGATAATAAATGTGCACTACAAAAAATATATCATTTAGTGGCATACAAAAAGTGACACTAAAGGCCCAAACAAATGCCACTAAAGGCTTCTCAAAGAATCAGTGGCACACTTAATAAATGCCACTAGAAACGCTCCCACTAAAACCTTTTAGTGACACTTTTTGTTTTTGCTGCTGCAGTTTTTAGGCTTTCAGTGGCACTTTTTTATTTGTCACAGTAAAAAAATTTCTTTTGTGGCACATATTTTGTGCCACTAAATCTGATTTAATTTAATAGTTTATGTTACTTTTATTTACACATTTTAAGATTTTAATGACACTTTTTTATTTACAACAATAAAAAATAGTGGTATTTTTTTATGTGTCACAGCAGAAGAAATTTTTTTGTGGCATATATTTAGTGCCATTAAAAGCTCATATGATTTAAAAAATTCATACTACTTTTAGTTACATATTTTAAGATTTTAGTGACAATTTTATTTGCCATAATACAATTTCATCTATAATATAAAATAAAATGAATAATTAAATTGTAGCACATTGAAAATAATCAAATTTTCATTGTTTTTCATCAATATTTTTTTAACTTTTTGAATTGAATATCTAGGTAAATATCAAATATATCTAAGTACATGCTAAACATAAAGTAATCAACAAAAGTTAAAACATGCATATAAAAATACAATAAAATAAAAAACAACGATATGATATGTTGAATAAATTGTGGTATCTCATACTCTAGAATCAATGCTAGCAATTCCCTGTCCAAAAACAAACAAAGATAATCCAGAATCCATTGAAATAAGACTTAGTTTACAAAATAAATAATATAACACCTAACACAAATAAACCATATTTATAAGAACAAAGGAAAGACAAAAGCTCATAAAATGATTACCATCGTTATGATGACTTTCAGAAGATGCTCTCTGGTTAACTGATTTTGATTTGCGTGGAACTGTAGAAGTGTTGCCTGACATCTGAAACAAATTAATGAAAACATATATCATTATTGTCCAACTCTCGATACCTTCTACTAGTCTTGTACAAATGAACAAATGAACAAGAAGAATGCGTTTAAGAAGATGCATATGTGGACCAAGAAGATTATTCAGAAAGGAAAAAGTGGTCATTTTTTTGTCCAATTGGAAATATGATAATGGACTAATTTTAATGAATGTTTTTTTTGTTCATAGGGTAATTGAAAAGGAAAAATGCAATTATAGATGACATATGTACCTATATGTTCATATTGCTAAGAATTCCAGACAATTTTGCATTTGGGATATGTTCTTGTATTTTCAAATTTTTAGTGTAAATTTTTTTTAACTAAAAGGTAAAAGTAAGGATTCAATGAATAAAAAGCATGTTATCCATTAAAGGGAACCGACTTTTTTTTTTATCATTTCCATAAATTTACTTTATCTTTTACTAACAATAGCAATGTACTTTCTATTTTTTAGTGTAAAGTTATTTTAACTAAAAGGTGAAAGTAGGGATTCAATGAATAAAAAGCATGCTAGGTCATTAAGGTTAACTAATGAGTAATAGGATAAATTCCTTAGTTTATGTAAGAAACAAAATATATTACCTAATATTCTGGAGTAAACCAATGATTAACAAGTTTTTTAAACTGAGTTGGGTTCACCCTGTTATCTTTCTCGGTTTGTTGTGCTACAATTTGATCGATTGTAAGACTTGAATCATATGCATGTGCTTTTAGTGAAACTTTCCAAGTCCTCCATCAAGTTTTCCATCAAAGTCGGCAAATTTCCTCTTTTGCTCTTTCGTTTTCTCCATCAGGGTATAATGATTGAATTTTTATAAAAAGAAAAAGACGAAAGAATAAAAGAATATCAAGTGAAATAGAATATAAATCTTTCAAGTTATTATCTCGGCTAGAACATCGGTTTTACCACGTGCGAATATTGTGTAGACTAGGTGAATAGCATTGAGCCATGTGTCCATGTATTCCCGTGAGTCTCCAATCTGATGAGAAAAGAAAGAACATATGATTAACTAATTAATTAATTAAAACTTTAAAATTGTTATTTAAAATTAGAAAGAGAGAAGATGGGAAGTCAAATATAAGCATTCTTTTACTGAAACAATATACAAAATTTCTGCTCTGATAATATTTGTTTATGTGGAGAAGTGAAAGACAAACCTACAGAAGAAAAATAACAAGTTTACTGCGACATCCCCATTTTCACGGCCAGAAAAGACCGATTTTGTTTATGCTTTATAAAAATCAGAGTACCATTTTGAAGAAATGTGTTGCGGAATTCGTTCCCGGAAAAACATGATCAATACGTTATCAAAGACCTTCCGAAGAAATGTATTTTTATTCATTTTCAAAACATTTGGGATGTCATCGTCAATACAGAAACATAAGCATAAACAGAACTTACATTCATTTACAATAGTGATCTACATTCATTTACAATAGTGATTTACAATAGTGATCTACATCTCTTTTACAATACAGAAACATAAGCATAAACAGAACTTTCTGTGATAGAAATAAGCTGGAGTGGGTCAGGTTGGGAAACCTGGTGAGTACATAGGGATTTGAATCCCACAATGTTATATCATATAATTTAGAACTTACAAAATATACGATTTCACCAT